AAATTGTATGGATGATTTGAACTCCTGTTTAAGTATTTTTAACTGTCTTTCGTGTCTTATCATTTGGTTTTTTTTAAAAAAATGGCTCCATCAATTATCTCGAAGGCCTTAGGGCTTGAATGGCAGGTAACAAATTAAAAAAAAAATTGAGAAGCAAGCAGAATACTCCCTGATCACTCTCTGTGTTCACACTTCCTATTCTAAAATCTCCATCCACTGGATGCATGAATAAGCCAGAGTTCTTACTACTGGGGCACGGAGATATCTATCAATCTATTCATACTGCCAAGTACAGGTGGATTTTGACAGTTTCCAGATTTTGGGGAGGGGTGGGGAGACAGATACAAATGTCTTAGAGTCCTGTGCAGATTCACATGTGTCTGAAGAACAGCCAATTCCATTCTTGTCAAGGAAGTATGACTAGAGATGAAGAGCACGTTGGTACAAGTTTTATATAAACATAATTGACAATATGAGAGAGAAAGGAGTATGAACAGGTAATTTGTTTAGTACCTTAGGTTACAAGAGGTTTTGACATGGCCCGGTAGCAGCATGAGTAAGCTATCTTGCCGTATGCAAATAACTGCAGCATGAGATTTGCAACATATGAGAATATGGTTGCCATGAGGCTTTGAGACACTTTTTATTACTACCTAAATGTCACAGAAAGAGTGCCAGATAGATTAGCTTAGGCTGATGTTCCCTTCATCCCTACAATGGCATTCATCCCAATTAACTTCACAGCTGTCAACTCAATTATCTCAAAGCATTATGGGCTGGCCTATACATTTACAAAAGCAGATTGTAAGGTTATGCTTCAGAACACTGGTATAGGCATAGTTATGTCTGAATATCATCCAAATCATGGTGTGCCTGCCCAACCCTGGAAAGCTATCATCTCAACAAGATCCTCAGTAAACACTTGGATTGTGTATAATTGCCAGATGTGATTTAATAAGTCACCCTCTTCTCCCCATCTAAGCCAAAAACCAGTTAAGTTTTTTCTAAAAAAAAAAAAAAAGTAAAAATGGAGCAGCAACATATTGAGCAATTTTACTTGGTACATTTCAACATCACAAGTAGGCCTTGATTAAACAATTCCATACCATTCTTGCAGAGCTCACTTGGGATTGGCAAACAAAATGCCAAATCACCAGAGAAGAAATGTACATGTCTGATAAGATACTCAACTTTCCCAAGACCTGAGATACAGACCATTTAGATCTGTAACAGATGATTGGGGAGGGGGGGCACTTCATTTTTACATAGGTTCCAGCCACATGTGCAATTACTCATCCATTCTCCCAACACACTGCTGCTTCTCTAGAGAGAAGCATCCATTTGGGGACTTTTCCTGGGAATATTTTGTACTTTCAAAAGGAAGAGGAACCTCATCAACCTCATTGCACTACATATGCTTTGCTTGAAAATCCAGATCAAGTAAGTGACAGTCTCTATTTAACAGTCATAGAAAGCAGGCAGGCAGGAAGCTCAGAAGCAGCAGCAAGATCACCAGGAAAATGGTAACAACTTAAAATTTAAGGTATGCTTATAGAAGGGCAGGGCATAAGCTGAGCAAACTTACTTGAAATGGGAGCGGGAGTTTTGAGCTTCAAATTTTGTTTGTAAAAGATGACATTAGCTAAGTTACCAGACACTGAGACAGATGCAGAATATGGGTTTAAAATCTCTCAACACCCAACCCTGAGCTTCAGGTTATTATTAGCTCAAGCTTAACGAAGAATGAGCTTCACTTGTAGCTGTCGGTTTTAGTGCCTTAGTCTCCCAGACTAGAAATGATTTCTTTAAATGCTATGATATGGAAGCCATAACAGCACCTATACAGGAACCTCCATGGAGTTTAATGGAAATAATCTACAATGCAAGCATTTCTCTTATTAGGTGATACTAGTTGGGAACAGTATTTGATGTCAACATACAACCTGGCTGTTCCAACATTACTGCAGTTTCACAAGGACTCTCACTATAGCAGCCCCCACTCTAGCAAGATAACATTAAGAGAGAACAATGATTTGCATTACACAGAATCTGAAAACTGGGAGGGCGGGTATGGGAACTAGATGATGGAAAACCAAGAATTACTACCTAGAAACGACAGGTTAAAAGTTAAGAGCTAAGTTCAATTAAACTAATCCCGGGTGTATATAGGACTTCAGAGTTGAAAAGACAGAAGTACCAGATACATATCTAGACCTACTATATCCAGCCTGCAAAAATCTGGATGACCATTAGATGACAGCCAAAGATTATCAGTTTTCTGAATTTCTTTGCAGCCGTCTAGTGGCCATCTGGATTTTTGGAGAAGGGATATGGTTGGCCCAGATACACCAGCAACTTGATCCTAATCATGTTTCCTCCAGGCAAATCCTGCTGACTTCACTGGGATTTGCTCCAAGAAAGCACACCATTCAGAGCAACCTGGGATATGCAAGGTTGCAGATTGAGATTCATGCAAGAACCTAACACACTGACCCCATTATAATGAAACAACAGGTATGCCTGGAATTGCTACCTTTGCCAATCATATAATTATTACACACTACAATTAGAAGCGTGTTTTTTTTTAAGTCAAAACCATAAAGATACCACTTATTGCTTGAAATTTTTTTTATTGTTGTATAATTCAAAGCAAAAGATTCCAATTGGTTGGAAATCAATCAAATGATGGTCTGCATTGTTAACTGCATTTTGCAAAACATAAATGTCTACCCTGAATTATTATAAATATATATTATTAATTCAAACCTTATATTCTGATTACTTTCTCCACTGGTTACTATATTTTTTCATCAGACATAGATCTGTTTTTGTGGCTTGATACAATGCCATATTCATAGTATACATATGATTTTATTTAAGCTAGGAACCTGTTCTTCTGCAAAAGCTTGATAGACTGGCTCCATAATGGAGCTAATTGCTGAAATTTCCTAACTGATGCTAATCAGTCAAGTGTTCAGCATATTCTAACTCTGAACATCCTGCATGAAGCAGGGTGCTGGCCTGTAGGGTCTTCCCTCCAATTCAGTAACTTGGCTCACAACTTCCACTAAACCATGATTTAACTCTGCTTTGTTGAATAAACCACAACTGACGGGCTTCCATAGTAAACTAAACTATAAACCATTATGACTATTTGCACAACACATTAAGCCAAAACCAAAGAAACCACATTATGACTTAGTGCACTTTATGAAACCAGCCACTGATTCTATCCAACTCATAGGGTGGATTCCCATAACATGTTAAGCCATAATGTGATTTCTTTGGGTTAGTCTGCTGTTTGAATCCAACCACTGTGGCTTATTCTACAAACTTTAGTTAAACTACAGCTTAATATGACATTTGAACAGTCATACAGGAATATATTCTAAAGACCATTAGTTGACACAAGTATTTAAATAGCCAATAGTTCACTGTGGCTCATAGTCACAGTCTCTAATCAAAGTGTTTATCTGCAAATTCCAGTTAACATAACAGATAAGATTTAACTTATGGGGTTTTTAAAAATGTTTTCTAGCAATGTTTATACCAGGACTTAGTGCAACTTGGTACAGTAGCAGATAGCCTAGCTTAACCTAATTTTAAAAAACTGTGGTTAGTCTTATGTATACATCTATTTTCCCCCCTTGACAAGGAGTCTGAGAGTCACGTGACTCGAAAGCATTCATATAGCACTAGTTAATCCTAATAAAAATGATCTCATCAACATTGATCCTGAACGCAGTTTTCCTTCAACTATTGCCTTGCTGGTAAACTTAGAGTTATGTTTTTTGCTTAGCAGGGATGAGGAAACTGAGTTATTTAATGTTGCCTTGCAAAGAATATTCAGAAAGAAAAAGAAAGACAGAGACAGGGAGAACATTGTTTACTGCATCTTGAGAAACAGTGACCAGGGCCCAAACATCACTAGTGCTACTTTCTTTGTAATCTGGGGAGAATTTACAATATTCAAGGTACAGCGTCCAAAGGCCAATGACTGTCTGCCTATTTTCCATCAGGAAGGAAAGTAGAATTCCAGCTGTTTTAAGTCTGTGTTAAGAAGATTTAAGTGCACATACTTTATAAACCCATTCTTTCCTGAACAAGTAGAAATAATTGCAGTTGTGCCAAAATGACACACGGAGAATAAAAGAAGGATTTAACATGGAAAATTTACATGTTAAATTTTCCATGTTAACACAAAAGTTTACACTTTTGGCCCAAGTCTCTCTCATTATTAACTTTAGCCATTTCACTGCATCAGTTCCCTTTTCAAATGATTTTCTTTTGAGTAAATGGATTTTGATTCCAGAATGTCAGAAACACAGGACTCCATATCCATTCTGATGACTTAAGAAATTACTTCATACCTCTCCTACACATTCTCCTTTATTTCAACAGCTTCTTTGGCCTAAAGCCAATCATGACTTGTCTCCAAGGACATGGGAGTTTTTCAGAAAAGAAGCCTGGCCCAAAATGTTTCTGTGGGAATATTTTTCACAAGGAAGTGACACACTTTGGGATTTATGGGAGAGTGGGGTAGATGGCCCATATTCCAAGTTTGCCTAAAGGAATGAAGCTGAGCATGTGTAACATGAGATATGAAACACTAAGTGCTGGATGCTGTGAAACAGAAGCGCAGATAATTTAACCAGTGCAGATAGCTATGCAATGGAAGGACAATAGCTGAGATGCATAAGCATTAAGACACATTAATTCAGCATTCCATGTCACAGGGTGGTCAGATGCATCCAGGAAGCTCAAGTAATCAATAATCCTCATTTACCACTGCTTTTTAGCTACTGGTATTTGAAGTATGCTGTCTGTGATTCAGGAGTTAGTGTACAGTTCTTAATACTGGTAGCTGTTGATATATTTGTACTGTCCATTAATTTGTCTAGCCTCATTTACTGCAATAACGCATAGATTCTTCTCATAGCTGGAGGGAAAAAAACATGTATTAAGCCAATAAAAGACGAGGAAACTGCGGCCATACTTACATCCATGTAATTCTTCAGAGCCTCTGGGGTAGGTGTTTCTGCACCAGGACCCCCAAATTTATATTTCAGCACTTGTCCCAACTCAATCAAATCTTGGATATTGGTCCCATACTCATTGTAGATGCTACGCATGGAAGGGAATTTCTTCAGAGGGATTCTGTTCAGAAGAATTTTTTTTTTTAAAAAAAAGAAACACATTAGCAACAGCAATTTTCCTTGATATCCTCTTTTTCCTGCAATTCTATCAGCAAGAATCAACATGAGGCCATTACTAGCACTGTGAAACATTCACAGCACAAAAGATATTTTTAAATAGCTTAGAAACAATAGTTTTCCTTTTTGATCTAAACCTAACAATCAAGCATCAGGTTCTTTAGCCGCCACATTCTCCACCACAATTTACTGACATGGATCTTGTGAAATTAATGAAGTCTTGCTAGTTTACCCTGCAGTAAATCTGGCACAATTTTATGGGAACCTCCCTACAGATCAGGGTTTCAAAGCTTCATGACTCCCTTTTATTAACCTATATTTGCTAAAAGGCCAACCTCTAGAAACTTCCTATGTTGCATCTAATTACATAATACTTTTGACTGTCATCTTTCATCTGTTAAGTATCACTTTAATGTTAAAACATTTAGAAGGATAAAATTCCTGAAACATCAAAATATGCATTTTCCAAAGAGCAAAAGGCATATCCTGATCATATAATTCCTACAATTTCTATTTCATGTCATGCTTAATCCTCATATCAGAATCATCCCTATGTTATACCCTTACTACCATATCAAACTAGCAAGAAAAAAACTTCTCTGCCATGGTCCCAGCCCTATGGAATACTCTCCCCCCAGAGGTGAGGCAGGCCCCTACTCTCCTGACCTTCCGGAAAGCAGTCAAAACCTGGCTCTGCCAATTGGCATGGGGAGAGAAAAGGGGCAACCAACCCTGGGGGTGACCAGCACTTGAAGATGCTCCTGTATGTTAATATCTTTTCTATCAGCAGCACCTTGGAAGATATTGTTATTTAGGTATGTATTTGGTTTTTATTGTGGTTTTTATACTGTTTTACTGTATTTTAATTAATATTTATTTTTTGTTTTTATTGTAAACAGCCCAAAGTCACTTCCTAGTGAGATGGGCGGTGACCAAATTTGAAATATAAAATACAAATAAAATTACCAACATGTCTAACAGGAACATCATTCAAAAGGCACAAGAAATCAAGCTGTCTTTATGGGTGTTGGGAAAGGGGGAAAAAGAGTGTTTTAGTTAAGAAGCACTCATTCACATTTTATGATGCAGACGTACTCCATCAATGAAAAATGTTCAGGCCTAACTGGAAGTAGCTTTAGGCATTCATTCTGTAGTCAATATACATTCAAATGTAAGTAAGCTCCACTTAGTTCAATGGCACTTAATCTCATACAAGTGTGAATCAGGCTGCAGCTTTTATTACTAAGGTTTGATCCTACCGGTTTTCTATTAGTGTCAACAAGTTCTGATGCCACTGCCTTTTGAAGATGGGTCCACAAACTTTATGTGGTATTGGCAGCCAGCCGTTATATGTCGCCTTCAACTGGGCCCTATATCCATGCTATCCCATTCTCTAGCTATGTGATAGAAGATTTTGAGAAGAGGATACTATCATAATCATCTCACTGTGCTTCTTTTTGGAAGCAGCCAATCGTCCAGACACGTCAGAGACTTGGGGAAAAGAAGAATAGAGCCGTTCTTCCCCAACCAGTACTAAGGGTGGATATCTCACTGATCATAAAGAATTGCTCGGTTATTCAAATAAGGATGTCAGGTTCCTTCTTATTAGAATTAAGAAAATACTTGAATCATCATGTTGGATGTCTGTGCTAACCACAGAATAAATTAGTTTTCAATTTCAGTATTTCACTCAAATATTCTATGACTTTTAAACAAAATTATAATATTCTTGTTAAGGTTCTAAAAGTACAGTGTTCTCAAATGAGTATGGTTATCTCATTCTGGAATGCCACATCAGCCTGCAGTCATATATTATGCTAAAAAGCAAAATTAAGTTAGAAGTAAAGGAAATAAGCAGTCACCATCAGAAACGTATCAGTGACACAGAAAAGTATTTTCCTAATTCCTGCAGACAGCAAGGAAGAATTATAGACTGTGTTCAGGGTGACCTTTGCCACCAATGGAGGTGCCTAAATATAATTTAACTGTGTTGTCAACTTTGCAACCCACATCTGCAGAATTAGGGTGAAACAGTCCTCACTCCTACACTCTAAGAAATAATTCTGCATTTAAAGTATGTAACTGAAGTATTAGCTTCATGGAATATTTGAGCATAGTCATAAGGTAGTCCCCAGGTTAAGAACACCCTGCTTCCAGACAACCCATAGTTAAGAACAGAGCCTATTGCAGCAAAATTTGAGTCAAATACACAATGATTTGAGTTAAATACACAATGGCTTGAGTTCATTACACACTACTACTTATACAGTATTATACAATAACATTTCAGCTTATAAATTCGACTGAAGGATAGATCTTGGGAACGGAACTCATTCTTAAACTGGGGACTACCTGTAACCATTCATCTCACCAGCATGACCAGCTCATTTAGCATCTAGTAGGAGACCTTTTACAATGCATGGAAATTGAAAGCTGGGAACAGATATCTGGCTGAGTATCCAGAGATAGGCACTGAAGTAGAGATGAAAGTGAGTACTGAGAATCTCTAGATAAGAGATGAAATAACAAATATCAAATAGAATGTGCTCTTACTACATCTACTTCAAATGGGTATAGTAAAACCCTTAAACCATCTCAAAATACAATTCAACTTCATCTGCACTCCATTTATACATGACTGTATCATTTAGTGTTAGATGATGAGATAGTGAAAGCTATAACTTTGGTTAGAACAGATCTGAAGTTGAACACTACCACACACACAGGTGGTACTTTCTACAGTCAGGACAGTACCACTGAAATAATATGATTGTGTTAGTTTTTCAGGTAGTGCCATCTGTAATAGGGCTTGTCTGATATATATAAAAAAGCAAGGGGATGTGTCACACAAGAGGGGGAAAATACTACTGACATTTTGTAGCAGTTGTGTCTAGAAATGTGCTTTTAAGACGAAATACTTATTTTTACGGATCCAGTCAGTAGGCAATTACCAGAGGACTTGCACTATTTCTTGGAGTGTTTCTCTTGCCGTTTTTCTGATAAACTAAATTAACCTCTGCTCAAAAGTAAAATTCTCTCTCCCAAAAATGAGAGACGAGAGCCCTTAACTTTTTAATGCAATTCAAGGCTGCATTCTTTTTCACCCTTAAACCACAAACAATCCTAGAAAAATGATGTCCATCAGATCACAAATACCTGAAAGTGACCGAACAAGAATATACTGGGCAAATTTCCCTTCCCATCCCCAAGTACCCACTGGAAAATTAATGTATTGGATGATGACACCTAGCCAACTTTGGCTGATCTGAGAAGCTAAGCAGAATCAGGCTTGGTTGGTATTTGGGCAGGGGACCACCTGACAATTCTAGGACTGTTGGGTAGACTGGACAATTGAAGAAAATACCCTAAGAAAAAGTAAAGCAACCCACCTCCATAACACTGCCAAGAAAAGTCCATGTGTGCATGAATCAGGAGAGTGAGAGCCAGGTTCTCAAAAAGCCACAGAATGAAGCAGAGAAACAGCAACTACAAAAAGAATCTGCATTCTGTGGACACCATTAACACCCTGCTTCAAATATTAACATAGCCAAGTGTTTTGCTTGCTTTTTTTTAAAAAACAGAGCCAACTTCTGCAACTTGGTGGCCTCCAGACAGGCTGATCTTCAACTCCTTGCCATTACAAGACCATTGGCGAAGGTTCACTTATCCTTAAATGAGTCCCTGGGGAAGTTTCCTTAATATCTTTAGCTCGGATCAGGCATATGGGGAGCTGATCAGAATTTTCAGAAACTGGGGTACAGCTCTAACAGAAGTCAGCAGCAAGGAAGACCCCCTGAATCCAGAGGATACTCTCCCGCACCCCAGTTTCCTTTCAAACTAATTCTTCACCTGTAAGTCCGCTTAGAAAAAGAAGAACTTTTTTACTGCTTCGAGAGCGCATCCAGTCGAGAGGACACGATCGAGCTCTCCCAAATCCAGTCACGTCGATGCCTAAAGGTCGGCAAAAGTTAAAACATGCCGGCTGATTTTTAGGCACGCCTTCCAAGACGAATGGAAGGATCCAGAAGAGGCTCAGCAGTGCCCAGTAGCACAACACGGAGACCATGCCTCGAAAGCTGCGGGCTGGGTTGGTTTGTGTTTTTCTGCTCCCAAGTCTGTTTGCAAGAGACTCCCATCCCGCACAGCCCTCCCACTCAGGGAATCTTTAGCACCAAGAGAAAGCCGATCCTCACCTGATCAGCGACGAACAAGCAGCCACCAGAGAGGCGAGCAATATTAATTCGCGAGGCCCCATTTTAGCAGCGATCGCGCTGGATCAGGGTTTACTGCAAGCAACCCCCCCACGCTCTGTTCGTACTTGTACCCTCCGCGAGGAGGATGACTGAGCACCTCACCGCGTGACCGCTTTATCAGCTGACCGATCTTGACACTGCAACTCGGGCGCACGTGATCGGGAAGGAGGCGGGGCCGGATTTAACCCCCTAGCCGCTCTCAGACCCAGACGGGAAGATAGCGCCGACGCCGCCGTCTGGAAAGGCTGATGCAGCTGAGAGCGGAGCGCGTCCGCGCATCTCCTCCTCGGAACAACCGGCTGGGTGGGTGCTGAGAAGGGAAATCTGTGCGGAGCACGGCCCACGCTGAAAGCGGTCACCATATGACTCACGGCAGCAACCCGTTTAGCGAGAAATGACTCCTTTTAAAGTGGCCTCTCCGGGGTTATCGTTTTGCCACTCTGAATGCACTTCCTTCACACGTGCTATTACACGCTGCCCTATACGTGTATTTTCCCGTATTGCTCTACCTTGTGCTTGTTGACTTCTCCAACCAGCTAGGTGTCGGGGAAGGAAGGAGTTCAGGAGCCCTAAAGCGTGCTCAGTGGGGTTACGTTCTCTCTGGGGCTCCGATCGCGTGGGGAGCAGCACCTCTCAGCACCAGCCAGGATCGGGCACAACTGGGCATCTGACACGTTTTCCTGAGAGCCTTCTTGGAGCTGCAGCTTCCTGCTCTTCCTCAGCTGTATTGCTATGTTTGGTCACTTGTTATTGTTAGTTTAGCTCAGTGTTTCTCAAACTGTGAAATGTGTGGATTTCAGCTCCCAGAATTGAAGATGTGTGGACTTCAATTCCCAGAATTCCCTAGCCAGCATTGAAGTCCACACCTCTTAAAATTGCCAAGTTTGAAAAACACTGGATTAGCTCATAGGATGTATCACATGCAACTTAGCATCTGACAATTAGAGATATGAGGCCAGCGTGGTAAACATATCATCTGCCGGGTGCCTTTGTCTTTTGGGACTCATTTACTTATGTGACAAAGTATGCTGGGTGAGGGCTGCCAGATCTGGAGTTCTGCAGCCCTGGTATGAAGACCCTCACTAGTGACTCTACTAAAAGTAGCTCCAACTGATTGACCCGCCACTTTATAATTTCCCTCAATTATTTTCATCAGTGTAGGAAAACAAGGACAACCCCAAGTTGAAGCAAGCTGGTATAGAATCATTCAGAACTCCTAAAAATGGGTCTTTCCTGAACTGGTGATTTATGATTAATAGGAAGGTCAAAACATTTACAACTGTCTTTCAGCACTGGCTCTAGTAATGTTGTTTGCACTTGTCATAACTTTAGGTAAAGTACTTGACAATAGTAGGGCTAACATGCCATTTCAGTGGAAAATGAATACAGCTTTCTGTGACAGCATTGCCCTGAATTGAGATAAGTACCTGCTATCCCATAGTCCTTGCAACAGTTTAGGAAAGGTTCAGCATTTTTCCTTTCAAAAGACCTTTCTGCTCAATTGTATCTGCTTAGAAGGCAGAGAGAGTTGCATTTTACTGGATACCCTAAATAACTCGTCATTATTTAGGGTACATAATCTCTTTGTTTTAGACTCTTTTTTTATTGCCTTCATCTTGTTCCCAGCCCATGACTGAGACTGTTAAGTTGTTATTAGCTGTTCTAGAATTAAAGTAGTATTTTTCTTCTTATTCTGACACTGCCCAAGGACAACCTCAAGGTGAGGTAGCCAATACTGGGTGTGATCACAGACTTGCTTATCAGCATTTCAGGAAGATTCAGACACATCCCCTCCCCTCTACTGCCATTCTGCTGTTTTTATTTGCTGCCTGTCCCTTCTGCTGCCAGTCTAAAGTTCTCTTAAAGAGAGATTGGATGTGAATGGTCAGAAAAGAGTCTGAAGTAATGCAGGAAATTACTGAATGGATAGCAATATCTGCTCTAAGTAAATTAGTGGAAAGATGTGTATAATACTGGGAAATGTACCAGTATTATAGAATGTAGAGAAAGAGTATCATGTAGATTCATTGTGAAATGTACAATTTTCAGTTAAGATTTCCAAAATTCTTTAGAAGAGTGTATCTACCACCAGAACCTATGGAAGCAAATTGTATGGGTTGTTTGTTCTCTTTTATTTTTGGGGAAAATAAAATGACTAGAAACTAGGAGGCTGCCATAATAGGATTTCATAATATCATGATCATTCCTAATGTGTTCAATTGAATGTATTATTCATCATATGATAATAGGAGATTAAACTTTGTTAGATGGCTAAAGGATGACACAGCATCGATGCTTAAGGGGCATTCTGTGAATATCAGAACTATAATTGGGATATTGTGGATTTCCAAAATAAGCATTATAATTCAAGATATTGCAAAAAATGTGACAAGGATTTCTGGGTAGCCGATCAGGCTGTTCGGAAGGTATGCTGAATATACTCAAACCAGTGCCCTGGGAGTTGAGCCCTTGGGAAATGAACATCGAATCCTGGGAAACTAGAATTTCTGGGAGTCCTAGACCTAGGATGCTACTACTGCAATATTTTAGGGCAAAAGTGAGGCCCTAACTTTATTCTTTCTGTCACCACTGCCAAGTTTATTGGTGTTAAAAGAGAACAGGCAGGTATGGGTTCAAAAATGGGAAGGGCTAACCCTAAACCTATTATAAACTAAATCTAAACTGCACAAGAAGGTTGGATTTAGTATTCAGTAAGTTCAAGAAGTCAAAGGAGGAGGAACTAGTTTTTACTAGTTTCTAAGGTTCACCATTATCACAAGTTAGAGTGTTCATAAATATTCTATTTATTATAATAGCTTATAATGACTAGCAGAAATGTACAGATTATTTCTGAATCATATCAAAGGCCTATCTAATTAGGCATATGCTTCCCACAGCTGGCAACCAGATGCATATGGAAAGCCTTCAAATAGGACATGAATGTAACAACACCCTCTCATTTATGTTACCAGCAACTGCTACTGAGAAGCAATCTCCTTCCCACACTGAAGGAAATCTACTCGAACCCACCCATCTAATTTGCTGGAATAATCCTGGTTTAGCACATGGCTGGGCATGAAGCCAGACAGCCTGGGGGCTCCAAAGTACCTGTGTATACATTACCATCAATTGTACATGTGCCACAGCCATACTGCTTTCAGAATTGTCCCCAGTTGGACATTTCCTCCAGATGTAAAGGTAAAGGGAAGTAAAATGAAATCAAAGTTTTATTTCTGTGGATTATTTGACAATGAACATGTACAAGCATTTTAGGATTTGAAGAATGTTAGGCCTGCCACACACACAGAAAAATCTGGATTGGTCTGGGATTTTGACACCCCCAAAGCATCCCAGGGAGAGACCTTAAAATCAAGCAGATCATTCAGCTTTTCTGGGTCTTGGGCAGCCCAAGTCCTGTTTCTGCCCATACGCAAGTCCTAAGCTAGCTATGTAATTAATAGTCACCTGCTCACAATTGGCAAATAAGAACTGAGAGCAAATGACAATGTAAATCTGTAAGACTTAATTACAAGGCAACTTTGATTCTGGTATATAACAATGTTCAAATAGTTCCCATGGCCTAGTTGGGCAAATAATGAGCCAGCTTTGTTCCACTGATACAAGAAAAGTACTGAGGAATTTATTGCAGCTGTTTCTGGGACAGCTGACTTAAGATGATAGAAAGTTTTATGTGATGAAGGGTTAGATGAAGGAATAAACAGGCACTGGTAGAATGGAAAGAGACTGGTGACTTGAATATTGGAGGGACTGACTGTGCACGTGTTGAATTACTTGGTTTGAAAGGTTGTAGAGAATCTGGGAAGGTAATGGAAGGGAGATCAGACATAAACAATCAAGAGATAGAAGGGAGTCTGTTGGTCACTTATAAATGGCAACTCAGCCCAGGTGGCAAGAAATCTGGGAAGGAGAATTCTAATCATTCAAAGAGATTCTGCCATAAATAACTCACTATAAATAAAAGTGAGAAATCCTACATGCAGTTTCCAAGATATGGAACTTACCTTAAGACTAGCATTAAAGATACCCTAGTGAAGTGTGGGTAGTTCTTGCTTCCTTGATCTTGTCCAGCTCTGTGGGGCTTGTTATTGGGGTTGCTGGGGAGATACCAGCTGACACAAAGAGGATGATCTTGCATATTTTCATGATGGTGACTATGAAGGCCATGAGGATAGTGCAAGGAAAAATAAGGAATGTTTAGTTCATGTGGACAGTTATGCTCAGAGTAGTTTCTGTAAGCATATGTTAGCCTTGTGGGGTAAACCAGATAGGAATCACAACCAGATGAGCTAATTCTACTTTATTATAAAGCTACATTGATAGAATCTTGCAAGTCTGAAAGTACAATTCTACCCTCCCCCACATCTCCTTCACAGCCTGAGAAACTAGGGAGGGTTTCTTCTGAGCCTCTTGCCCTGTCCACTATTGTGCTGTGGGCTATGCTGTCTCTTATCTGACCATTCTCTTGGACCAGTCTCCCAAGGTCTTTCCTTTACAGCATACCTGTTGCATGGCTATTCCATATCTCTTGGCAGTTGAGTGCTGGCTGAGGCTGTTGAGGAAAGAAAAGGAAAAGAACTGGTGATGGAGTTGTGGGCAATGATATGGCTTATGCAAGGGGAGTTAAAACCTTGAACAATGGAAGAAGACAGCGTGCCTTAAAGGGAAGTTATTGTTGGATCATGGGATGATGATAGGAGTAGAAGTATAGTGGAACTGAGCAAATATGGGATTTTTCACAAGATAATATGATACTGTCTATGATGCTAGCCCCACCAAAAAGATACAGGCTGAAGTTGTTGGCGCCAATTGGCAAAAATCCTTACGCAAATTTATATTTAAATTACAAAAATAAAAAGCAAATATAACTTTTATATCTTGAGACCTGATTGAATGTAAATATCAGAGCAACTCAATATTCCTCTAATATAACCATGGATGTACATGCACAGCCCACAGTTGTATTTATCCTTTCATTGCTAACAAATATCCATCAAAAATATTTTTATTCTACTTTTTCAATATTATACCATATTGCTTGCTATTTTATGTACAGTAGTGAAAATATCACTCTGGTCTTTGAATCTCTCTTTACTTTAGTCTCTTA